CCATGCCATTCCTCCTTCCACGCCCCATGCCACTCCTCCTTCCACGCCCCACACCATTCCTCCTTCCATGCCCCATACCATTCCTCCTTCCACGCCCCATGCCACTCCTCCTTCCACGCCCCACACCGTTCCCTCTTCCAGGCCCCATGCCGTTCCTCCTTCCACGCCCCATGCCACTCCTCCTTCCACGCCCCACGTCGTTCCCTCTTCCAGGCCCCATACCATTCCTCCTTCCACGCCCCATGCCACTCCTCCTTCCATGCCACACGTCGTTCCCTCTTCCAGGCCCCATGCCGTTCCTCCTTCCACGCCCCATGCCACTCCTCCTTCCATGCCACACGTCGTTCCCTCTTCCAGGCCCCATGCCGTTCCTCCTTCCACGCCCCATGCCACTCCTCCTTCCACGCCCACACCGTTCCCTCGGCTCTCACCTGCTCAGACACTCGCGACAGACAGCCTGCTGATGACTCATCACGCTGTCGGCATCCTCCGTCTCGTCGAACCGCTGCAGCGACGGGGCTTCCTTCTCCGCCTCCTCCTTGTACAGCGCTAGCTTCTCTCTCGCTCGCTCCGTGCTGTCGTCGGCAGTCAGGTAGCTGTTCACGTCTACCAGTAGCTGCTGCAGCTGCTGTTCCATCTGCTGGCACACCCTGGAGGAAGAAAGAGCACATGTTAGGAAGCTTTTCGCACTGATAAGTTCATCATGTTGTATTAAAAACAATAATTACACGAATTATTGTTACAGACATGAATAAATAAATTCATCTGGTCAAAAATTACTTAATTAGTGAAGCATAATAACTGAAAATAATCAAATAACAACATTCATAATCGTTTTCTCTGTAGAAAACTTCGAATTACAAGCAGTTGCCTGAATTCAAAAACCGTTCATCAGTTACAACAGACCATCAGCGATATTTCAAAGAACCAATCATATTTTGGTAGGCCACTGTTGATTGACCTTCGAATGAAAAGGTCGCAACCACTCCTACAATTAGGGTTGTCCACTCAGGGGCGCTGCCGAGCGATCATGCCGGCACCACGAGAGAAATCGGGCTAGAGCGTTCGCATGCTCTCGTGCAGTACTTACTTCTGCACGAATGGCGTCAGCGCCTTCGACTTCATCAAGAGTGCTCCACTGTTTCGATCAGAGCGTGACAGCGCCGCCTGCCAGCCGACGTTGGCAGGCATATCGCCGGCCGACTCCGTCCACACGTAGCGCAGTACATTGGTCTCAAACTCCAGTAGCCTGCAAGCGACGGAGGACAGAGCTGGGTTAGAAGAGCGTCGACAAATCATAAAATTTTTGATAGCAACCATAGCTAGAGTGCATTAACAAGTCACAAATCTTTTCTAATATCTCTTAAAGTAATAATTTAATTATCGTAAAGAATGCAACATCTCTTTTAATCTCTTTTTTCTCATTAGCTGTTGCATCCTGCATATCATCATGCAGCCTATCCTTATTGCTAGCCATCACAGAAGGGTCGAGAAAAGCGATTCATATTATATATGACGGAACATGTTCAGATGTACACACACGTAATAGTCTCTATGTGCAATGAGTGTAACTGTGCAAGTAACTACTATTGGATTTAATTTCGAATGATTTATTATCATAATCAATATTTATATGCTCAATATATATATAATTTCTCAGGCAGGAGTGGGACTTACTTGTCTCCGGTTCGCTCAGTGATGTCTCTCTGAGCGGCACTCAGTGTGTGCTGTACAGAGTCAATGATCGTCTCGAGTGTACACTTGATAATCTCCTAACATGTTAGCCAAGCAGACGCATTAAAATCCAAGCTATTTTCTCATGACGTGTGCGTGTTTGAACAAATAATTTTACAAAAATGTCACAGCATCACGAGATAAGGCATAATAAAGAAACACAAAGCCACTGGTGTTATTATTGCCTAACCAATCAAATGAAGTTACGCGATAAGTTGAGGGAAGGTAAGCACTTGGCAACATGTGATACAATATATTTACTAATTAGACAGTGATGCAGGGTAAGATCTGAGCATATGGAAGAAAGCACATGGCAACAAGTAACTGCAACAATCCACGTAAACTGTTCAATAGAACATCATATGCCAAATTAAACAGTACTATGATATAAGTATTGGGCAAAGTAATTATACAGTGACACAGGGCAACACAAAGAAAGCATAACGAGGCGAGTTGCAAACAAGACAATTTAAAAAGAACCGCATGTGAAACAACCCACATAGACCGAAGAAGACATAGAGATAGACACAGAAAGAGATATAGATGTATAGAGATAGAGAGATAGATAGACATTGATAGCTAAATAAATAGACAGGCAGTCGGACAGATGGACAGATAGACAGACAGACAACACAGGCAGAGCGACAGACAAGACAGACATGACAGACAGACAGACAACACAGGCAGAGCGACAGACAAGACAGACATGACAGACAAACAGACAGCCAAACAGACAGGCAGACAGACAGCCAAGACAGACAGAGCAACAGACAGACAGAGCGACAGCCAGGCAGACAGACAGACACCGTACCTGCACGCGAGCGAGGAAGAGCGGTCGCAGGAACTCGGCCCACACATCGAGGCAGCGCGCGAGCACGTCCGCGCACGTCGCCTCCCAGCCGCCGCCGCACGCGCTGCTCTCGCGTCGCAGTGCCTGCCACGCCGCGTCGCGCATGCCCGCGAGCGCGCGCACGGTGTCGACGTGAGCGAGCTGGCCCGCGACGCTGCCGCGCACGTCCTGCAGGCACCTGCGCGGCGAAGAAACGAAAAATGAGTTACGGCGGGTCCGCGGCATTCGCGAAATAACGCATTTATGGGAAAAGGAAATTACGGAATAAGGGAATTACGGAATAAGGCATTTATGTGATTAAAATATATATTTTTGCTATGATGTCGTTTACAGAAATGCTTCCGTGCCCAAGATAGTGGCGACACAGATATCGATGTGCGCTGCTACATAGATGGCGCAACCAAATCACCCTGCAAATTAGTGCGCTACGTCGTTGACGGTGATCAAACGGCCGCGCCACGCATGCATTCGTTCACTCACGCGTTGATCCACTGCTGACAGCTCTGCTGCAGGTAGCCGGGCTTGATGCGCGCGGCGGGCGCACGCAGCACGGGCCGGAAGTCCGTCACGCTCGCGGGCAGGTGCTTGAGGAACGGCGCGCCCGCGCTCCAGCCGCTCACCAGCTGGTCGCTGTCGGTGACGCGCGCGAGCGTCGCCAGCAGGAGGTTCGGCTCACCTGCAACATGAGACGGCAGGTCAGGGGGTCAGCTGCCGCGAGAAAGAAGCCGTGGGTCGGGGGGTCAGCTGCCGCGTGAGAGAAGCCGTGGGTCGGGGGGTCAGCTGCCGCGCGAAAGAAGCCGTGGGTCGGGAGGTCAGCTGCCGCGAGAGAGAAGCTGTGGGTCAAGGGGTCAGCTGCCGCGAGAGAGAAGCCGTGGGTCCAGGGGTCAGCTGCCATTCTGATCGTCAATCATCGCCAATCGTCATGGCCCTTAACTGTCATGGTCGCGCTCTGTCGTGGCCTCTAACCGTCATGGCCACCGACCACCATGGCAGCCGACCGTCATGGCCGCAGACCGTCATGGCCGCCGACCGTCATGGCTGCTTGCGGGCATGCGGCATCAGTGGCCGTGACGCTCGCCGTGCTGAGACGCGTACCTGCCGCGTCGTCTGCCTCGCCGCTGTAGAAGATCGAGCGGATCTGCCTGGTCGTCGTCGGCACGAGTGTGGCGACGTCGCAGACGAGCGAGCGGATGCTCGCCACCTGGTGGCCGCCGCTGAAGAGCCGGCGGATGGCGGCGGCGCGCGCGAGCAGAAACTCGGCGAACATCTGCCGCGGCGTGCTGTCCTCCAGCAGCAGGATCGCGCAGAGGCAGTCGGTCGTCACCTAGGGAGCGACACTAGATGTTAGCGCGCGCTCGCGAGACAAGCGCGCGTGCATGCGGCTTCCTCGTGGCGGATCGCCAGTCAGTGTTCTCGTCGAACGCAGAGGGCGCTGAGGTGAATGCGCACCGGTGCCACCGCACACCGCACGCGATCCGAGCAAATTAATCGATAGATCAGAGAATCTAGTATGATTTGCTTTGAGTCCACGTAAGCGATTTCATTCGATGGAAACCCGACTTTGAATTACATAACGACGTAAACACGGTGAATTTTCCTTTGATTGTAGACGGCTAATTAAATAACATAGCTGACATGACGGAAAAGCAACAACTCAGTTAGTCAATAACTTTACCTGAGTAAGAGTTTAAATGTATTGATGGTGATAGGTTTTACTTTGAGCTTTGATGCTATATGCATGACTAATTAACATAATTAACATGATGTGAAGACGATAACTTGCCTGCTGACTCACAGATGCATCGCTCAGCATCTGACGACATCCCTGGAATCATTGATCGATTGTCATTGTCACACGCAATACAACTAAACGTGGTAATTAGAAATAGCACAAACATAATGTGCAGTACCTATAATATACTACATGCACACTACTGTAATTTACGATTAACTGGCATGGTCTCAAGCGTGTCAACTAGCAAACATTATTGCATAAGATTACGTATCCTACTTTCTGGCAAATGTTACACGTTGACCTAACATTTGTTTGCTATGCTGAATTATTAATGTTGGCAAGGCTTCACTGTGATAAATTTTCTAGTGTATATATACGTAGTGGGTAACAATGACAGGATCTGCCCTATACGATAATAGATTCTCAGATCATACATCATGGTTATGGTTCGGATCCCATAGAAGATGACCATATGCATTGTCTTTAATGTCATCTAGATTTGTACTGTTATAGTATGGGTTGTCTTAAATCTAAAGAGGAGCAATGCATGTGTTTGTGTTCTCAAATTTTATCATAGTGGCTTGATAAGTTGATCACATACATATGTGCTTGTAAATAAGTTTTAGTATTCGACCACCTATTAGTAAATATTATAACGCTCTATATTACAACTTAATTTTACTGCACTATGCTCTTAAATTAACATAGGGTCTCAACAAGTTGAAACGGCACCAACACGGCCGCACGACACGACGTGGTAACGACACTTCAACGAATACACCACGTCGAAATCACCCCGATCGAACACACCTGCAGGATCGCCGGCTTGAACTGGCTGATGGCCGACCACTGGCGGGAGAGCACGGGGAAGTGAGCGAGGATGTGGGCCGACTGCGGAGACGTGCTATCGAGGTGCAGGCCCGTGTGGATGTGCCGGGCGAGCAGGTAGAGCTGCGTCGCGCGCAGGTAGTCAGCGGCATCCACCGTCGCCCAGATCTTCTCGGGAATGTCGAGCAGCAGCTTGATCTGCGCGGCGACCGCATAGAAGTGGCTCTCCTTGTACACCCTGCACAGTGCAGCTATAACATCGGTGTGTTGCTATCGCAGGATAAAATACACGGCATGCGAGCCAAAGTGTGCGGCTGAATTCACCGCGTGCCAGCTTCGAATAAAACCGTATATATGTATGTACACACATATGTATATATAACCATAAAGAATATACTGGATTTATGCCCTTGATTCATCATTCTAATGTGTGCAGCATGTATTGGGTGAATGCGCAACATTGGAGACGCCATTCTGAACTCTCCGTGAGTCACACTGCGAGAAATCCAAGGCTACGGCTCGTACCTTTGAGGCGGTTTGAAGAATTTCGCCGACCGGCCCTTGCCCTGCGGAACTTGCTGCGCCAGTAGCTCGCAGCGTGCCTGCATGCTCCTTATTGACTGCACGACCTGCTCAGCACTCTTTTTCATGTCCTTGATGGTGTCGGCAGCTTCTATCAGGTCCCGATAACGTTCCCTGCGATGAACAAACCGACATCACATGCCATCGAAGAGTTCGGCTCAGATTGCTATGCATAGGATAATTTAATTACATGTCGAATAAAAGAAATATTACCTAGTCGACAGTTTCGACAACGAAAGGATAGAATGATCACCAATACTGTTCAAAGTTAGAGGTGGGCATACTTGATTTATCTTATAATTCAGTTCATCTTATTATACAAGATTATACTTCTTCTAAAAGTCAGCCAACACTCTGCGAAAAATTTTGCATGCTGTGACCGACAACTACGCACAACTAGCTGGTAGCAGATTCAAAGGTTAGGTCTGGGGGAAGGGGAGAGGGCAAAAACCCCTTTTCACAACTGCAGACCTGAATATTTTCCAATAGGTGGTACAATTTCTCTCAGTTAATCAAAGAAAACAGATCGCTTCAAAATAGGAAATGTATCGCTAAATTGTACCCGAGTGCCACTGTTGTCCCTAAAAAATCTATGGGGGTACTCTCCCTCTGCATTCACATGACTTGATCCTCCTTATATAAATCCCCAGATCTGTCCCTGCTCATTGCCAATTGACTTTATAGCATCATAGCATCAAACAACAGGCTTGCTACATCTACGTAAGTTAGTGGGGTGAATCGAGACCTCATGGAGCCAGTCCAGGCTTCCATTTCTCACGTGCTCAGGGTTCAACATTAACTTTTTATTTCACTAGACCATCGGGCTAGTAACTGAGGAAACCCACTAGCCCTGACCTAACTTTCACTAGCCCAGACCCAGCCCATTGTTATGAAAAACTTTATTTAGATAAGAGTGTGTCATCATATGAATTCATAGATGCTGTTTCCCGCGCTTTAAATCGCGCGTGGGCCGAGTTCACGTGCATCATTCGTATTCTACCACGCGCATACACGAGCGCACGGTTTATCGATCGTCTACTGCGGCTGGCAGCAAGCCACGTTATTGTTTCTGCTGAAGGGTAGACTGGTATCCAGCTTCACGCTCTGCTAGACAATGTACACGCTCTGCGACACACAGTGCGGCCGCGAACCAGTCTAGCCAGAGGTGACCTTTCAGTGCAATATATATGACCAATTCTAACACGACCAGTCGGGCTACTAGCACTCTGGTTGTATGCAACCGGACCAAGCATTTACCCAACTAGGTCGGTCGGACGTGGGTTAGTGTCGAAACCTGGTGCTGATCAATGTAAAGCAGGGGTATAAATTAACTTTTGAGGGCAGGGAGTCCAACGGACTCACTGCCCTCAAAAAGATGAAGTCTGCAGTAAAATGAGGGAGTCCGTAGTCTGAAGTTCAAAATTAATGATTTGCTGAAAAAATGTGGTAATTCCGCGAGGTCATGCTCTGGAACAAACTAGTTAGTATAGCAGAATTTTCAGGGAGTCACACGGACTCCTGCATATATGTCAAATCAGGGAGTCCAACAGTAAATCAGGGAGTATTTGACTACGGACTCGCGTTAATTTCGCACCCTGGTAAAGCATGTATTAATGTACGCAAGCTTGCTCCTGGCCTAGGAACTCACCCAACCATTTGACGAAGATCCTCCTTCTTCTTCTCGATCTCTGCCCTAAAATAAAAAACAATGAAGATTAATCAAAAACTCTAAATGTCTGCAAATCTGGAATAAATGAACCTGCGCAGCAATAAGACTGATCACTCAAGTTCCCGTTATCGTCAAACTTCAGCCATGCATGGGCAAAAATCTTATATACGTCATCGTGAATTTCTCTGGAGTGAGATAAGATGGCATATGTGAGGTGGCATAACACTAGTGAACATGCCTGGCCATCCATACTACACATCTACTACTGGATTAATCAGACATGTCCGACCTGATGCCTTTCTCCAAGTTACGCACTTCATCGATGGTGTATTTCTCGAAAATAGTGATTGGATCCGTGACACTCATATCTGAAACTAGAACGAAAATTAACGAAAATTAATGTACCCTTTGTCACAACTTGGCCACGTCTGTTGTCTAGTTACAAAACAGACATGCTCACTGTGATTGCTAATTTGTTTCTATAAACACTGATTATGATCTGGCAATACATAGCTGTTACTAAAATAAGAAACCAAGTGCTGTAACAACTGCAATCTTTCTCAAAAGTGAAAAAGATCTACTGTATGACAAAGTAAATTGAAGAAAAAAAACACACATTAAAAAGCAAGCCCCGCCTTTTGTGACAGATGTTCGCTCTCGTATATGCTACCTCAAGCTGACACCAGGTGATCAATTAATCACATGGCTGAACTTCGCACCAGAAAGGGTGGAAAATGGGCCATTGCCAACTTATTTTTGTTCACAACTGTACATGTAACCCTCGCCACTTTACTTGATCTCTCGAGGTGTTAGAATATACGAATTTCAGCAATGGCTATCGACTTTAATGCCATTCGTTGCTTTGCTCATTCGTGGTTAAAAGTCATGCTGATAGTATCTAGCTTTAGGCATACGTATTAGTGTATCTAGGCCTCCACTTTTCCAGTAGTCAGTACACTGTAATGTTTGTCACAATAGACTGAATCAGTGAATAATATTGTGATATAGATTATCAGATAGTGTATAGATTAGTAATTTAGTGAATAGTATATTAGTAAATTAGTGAATAGTAAATAGTAAATAAATGTAAGTAGTGAATAGTATATAGTCAATATTATTATTTTTCTGCATTAAAATTTGGCAATGGCTGGAGGTACGTCAGTCCATTCACTTTCATACAAACGAGACATAGATGGCGGCGGATGGCGGCAGATTTTCGAAATAATGCCTTGGGAAATAAATTCACGATTTGAGAGTTTTAAAACACTCGGCTTAGGTATGAAAATAAATAATATTGTAAATTTTACATCAGAAGATCGCAAATAATTGCCTCAGCCCTCAAACAAACGCCTAAAAGGGGCTTCAACGAACGATGGCTGCCGTACCTCCAGCCACTTCCTTGAAAAAAAAAATTTATTCCCAGGCTCATGCCAACATTGTTGTTATCTTTACTGAGTCTGCAGTATTGTAACTAGATACAGTAATGTAGCTTCATGAATTCGAGTAGTAGACTTTAGTTTTAAACTTCGAACAGCAAACTGCCTAATTTTGAAGTTTGAAGGCAGGTACTGACATAACCCGACCAGGCTGTGTGACTAACGTCAATATAAACATTTGTGGGTCTCCTAACCCTAGCAAAGACCGTTTCTTGAAGCTAGTACTGACATAGCTCTAGTACTATAGTCTAGAGGTGCGCGGTATTACCGGCATACCGGTATACCGCGATACGTGACCTGTACCGGTACGTACCACGGTACTTTGTGTGGTGTAGTGGTGTACCGGCTGTTTTTAGCTATTTTTATCACATCAATTTTATTTCACTTCCTCGTCATTGCATAGCTTTATAAATTCATCTCAGTTGATCGACACCATTCAAGCTATATTCACGTATCTCCAGCACCTATTCTATATGCCTAGTAGATAGTCTGTGCTGTTTTATTTGTACATACTTCATTAGGCCAAACAAAAAAATACCTTTGGTTCGGGTCACATGGATTGTGAAAATTAGGGTCGGTATAGGTAGGTATATTTATTTTTTTTTTTCCTGCAAAAACATGGGTAGGCAGGAATATAAATTTTTTTCCCACAAGTTAAATATAGGGTATACAGCTTGAAATGCAGGAGCCACGAGATGCAAATGACTTGCAGTTGCATGTACCATTGCTGCAAGTCATGACATTGTTTTCAAAATGTGAACACCAGTCGTTTACTGGTGTCGTGTACTGGTATTCGTGTCGTGTACTGAATAGTAGTGTTAGGAATCGCTCCAAAAACGGAGCTCGATTAATCGTCTCTTTGAACAAGCGAGTAACCGAAGTGTAAAGGGCTCTGCGGCCGCGTATAGCACGATAGCATGCGTATACTATATAGTACGCGATCGATCGCGTACATCAAAGCGCGCCGCTGCACCATACGACCTTCAGGCTCTGTTTATGAAGAAGCCGGCCCAGGCTCTATACGACTGTTTCACGTTGTAGGATTCTAGGAAACGTAGGTAGGAACTGTTTCACTTCGCGCCAACGAAGTTCTGTTTATAAATATTTTGGAACTCTCCTTAGGTAAATAAAATGACAAGAGTCGGATATTTGAATATGTATGATCGGAAGGCGGCATCTTTGAATTTTATTTTTTCTTGAAACCCTCTAAAAGTGACCGCAGTCGCACATTTTATCACTCCGAAATGTGAAGTCGGGCAGGTGACCCGAACCAAAGGTAATTTTTAGGTCGGCCTTACTTCAGACTGGTTCTAGCCACGTCACCCGAAATGTAATAGGCTGCATCATAGCTGCCCATGTGTTTTGTCTACATTTCGGGTGACGTCACGCGTGTACATAACAACATTTGAAAACGAAACGCAAGTAGTGCAAGCACTTTGAGGAATAAATGCATAAATACATGGTGTAAAGAAAGTTGTGGAAAGTGTTCAAAAAGATAGGTGAGATGTCCATGTAGATAAATAAGTGTTAAAAAGCCCGATCATTTTGCGTTTTGTGAGCCATTTTTCGTGGAAGCAAGCATTGAGGGACAGGTGCAGTTACGAAACCTGGCATAAAATGTTCTATAGCCCTGCGGCAACTGTACGTGGGCTATAGTACTACTACTACTACTACTACTAGAGTAAAGCTAGTGGGTACAAGGATAGAGAGCATGATTGGTATGTTAATATGTAATTTTCGTTAATTTGGGGGTAGTACACTGTTATTCTTAAAACGCAGTGGCTGGAGGTACGGTAGCCGGCGCCACCGCCGCCATCTTTGTCTCGTTAAGTATGAAAGCGAATGGACTCCCGTACCCGTAGCCACTGCCTTCTTAAAAGGACGTGGATATTCGTCCGAGCATCGGACACCTGTTCGTATGCGCTATTCGTCCGAGCAGTTGCTGCGCATGCGCTGTTCATGTTGTATTACATAAATGTAATATAATGCTAGTCTAGGGAGTCGCCTACTCTCCAACCTAACTGAGTAACTCTACTCCCGGCACTCTCCACGCTTATTCTGTCATGCCATCCACCGAGACTAACTAGCTCGTACTCTTCAACAATTACATCCTAGACCTCATCAAATCCATGCTTAATATCACACAGACGCGGTAAAATATGTATTGCAGAGCATGAGATTTTTGTATCGTTATTATCTGCTATTCGGTAAACCATTCTCTCCAACTCTATCAATATCAAAAATAGAGTGCTCCGGCCCTAGCGAGGTTGTTTACTGAGGCCTTTTAATATTTGCGCATGTAACACATAAACACACAAACATGCAAACCACGCAAGTCCCTGACGAACAATAATAAACAGTGGTGCAGCGGTGGCGTGTCACTTCTCTATATTATTGCTCTAGGCAAACACTGGAGCGGGCGCCCGACGGACTAACATCGTGCCGCTAGATCCCGCGCGGCATGCAAACTGAGTACCCGCAGCCACTGCGCCCCCCAACGCTTTCAAAACATGGCGCGGAATCTGACGTAATATATCTTCTAACTTTATCCTATTGATAAGCAACTCTACCATTTTGTTAAGTATCGGCCGTTACTAAACCATCTGCGTGAGATGATCTTACGCGTTCTACACACGGACGACCCAAGTAGTGTCTGCATTAAGGATGAGTATCGCTCGCCGCCCAAGTAATGACATTGACATTGTAAAATTAACACCGCCGACCACTCGCTCAGCAAAACGCTCAGCCACAGGCACTGGGCTGAGAGGTGCTTAGCTCTAGATATAAGCCGCTTACATTAACTGCGCGGGCTATAAGACGACGCATGGGCAAGCAAGTGGCCGGGCAACCGTACTCCAGCCATCAGCGGAGCATAGTTCCTGTACCGGCATGTAGAGGGTGGGGGTGTGATGGGTGGTGACAAAAAAGCATTGTGTTTCAAGGTAACAAATTAAGCAATAGTAATTGTTCTCGTTCATACAAAACAATATTCACAATCTCGTATTGATCGCTTAATTTGTACTGACAACAACAATGTTTGTCCCAAACCCCATGCCCCACCCTCCACAGCGAAATACCATAAGTTCCCGCTGACTCGCCGCTGAGCTGCAAGCGACCGCCAAAATGGCCCGTTTGAAGTCGCAATGCGAATGTTTGGTCACAAGAAATACGCGCAAGTATAGCCATTGCAGACCGAAGTTAGTCCAGTCAATTGCTAGTAAAGCGACTATAACTTAAGACATATCACGTTCGAATAAGAGGATTCCATTGGCCTACCCGACAGACGTTTTATAGTGGCGAGGTAATAATCGGGGCAGTAACAGTGGTCGGGTAACAGGATGCATGCCGCGATGGTCGAGTGCTATTAGCCCAGGGGCAGTATAATGTAAGCGCTAGCAGTACTGTAGAGCTAAGCGAGGTCCAAACCTATACTATAGCGCGTTCACACGGCGAGCGGCGTTTCTGGCCGCGAGGTCTAATCTAGCCGCGGTGCCAATTTTCTCGAGCCGAGCCGTCACGGACGACGTTTTGGCGACCGACCTAATTAGGCCCGTAGCCAGATTGGTCAACCGCAGTCAGAAAACGTCGAACCAAAGGCCCAAGCCAAATTTAGGGCTACCCAGCTTCGGGCGAGCGGTAGCGATCCGTGTGAGCGGTAGATAACCGAG